CAGCTGAAATCTAGATCTTATCATTTGGTCTCCCTTTTGACCCATTTAAAATTTGCTCCAGAGTTTAATATTTTCTGCTTTTTTTTTGTCATTACTGATGGTTTTTTTTTTTCTCTTGATTTTGCTTTATATTTTTTTGTATATGAAATATAGGATAGATAAATCTATAGAGACAGTAACTGAATTAAGAATTACTTAGGGACACGGCAAAGGAGGTTGAGGGGACCTCAGGTACTAACAACAATAAGTACAAGAAAGAAAAAATATTCTAAAATTGATTGTGGTGCTGATTGCACAACTCTTAATATGACTGAACTATTGAATTGCATGATATGTTTTCCAAATTTCTTGGCATAGACTGATAATATTGGTCCCTCCAAAAAACTCACTGCCACCGAGTCAATTCTCACTTGGAAGTTCAGCTCATTAAAGATTTTAAGAGCAAAGACTGAGGTTTCCCAGAGAAGGAATTCTGTCTCGTGCTTGTAACTGAAATCCTGCCTGAGTTTCCAGCCCTCTGGCCTGTCCTACAGATTTTGAACTGCAGTACAGTATCAACTTCTGCCTAAGTTTCTAGCACACTGACTTGTCCGATAGATTTCAGAGTTGTCTCATGAGCCACTTTGTTGACATCAATCTCTCCTTCTCTGGGTGTGTGCATGTCCTAATGGTTTTGTTTCTCCAGAGAACTCTGATTTTTTTCTTCCTTCCGTCCTATCTAGCTGCCCATATCATTACACAGGTAGTCTCTGACTTATGACATTTAAAAAAAATTTTTTTTTCCCTCTCCCTCTCCCGACTTATGACATATTTATGATGGACCTCACTTATGACTGTAAGTATAATTAGAATGTTGCATGTTCCTGGGAGGAAAATTGCAGGCAGGGCATATAGAAAAAATGCCCAATCAATTAGAATATAGAAACTGTACTAAGGTATGTCTTTTTTATACCTTCGCCCATATTATAGTATGTCAAATATTACATCTGCATACATTTAAAATCTCATTATACAAGGTTGTAATTTTTTTCTTTTAACTGTCAATTTGTAAATCACTCAGTTCATTCTATCCACTCAGATATTTGCCACTTCCCTTACTCTTCAGCGAACTTTCCTGTTTCCCTCTGGTATAATTTATCTTCTGTGTGAAGGTCTTCCTTTAGCAATTCTTTCAGAACGAGTACACTGGCCTAGGGATTCTCTTAGATTTTGATATCTGAGAATGGCTGTCTTTCATTCTGTTGCTGAAGGATGTTTCTGGGTTGACAGTTCTTTTCTTTCAAAACTACAAATACACAATCCCACTCCCCCTTAGACACGATGCCTTCTGATGAGAAAATTAGAGTCATTCGGATGGCTTTTCTCTTCTGGATAATGGTATCCGTGTTCTTTGGCAATTTTTTGTCTTTAGCTTTCAGCAGGTCGATTGTAATATGCTCTACACGGATTTCTTTGGGTTTAAACTTTTTGAGGTTCACACGACTTCTTCAAGCTGGAGCTCTATGTCTTTTGCCAAACTTGAGAAGTTTTCAGCATTATTCTTTCAGATGCTTTTTCATCATCACCGTCCTCTTTCTCCTCCCTTTCTAGAAATCCAATGAAACAAATGCCAGACCGTTTGCTATTCTTCCAAAAGTGGTTGAGGCTCTATTTATTTCTTTCCCCCTTTCTATGTTCAGATCGGACAATTCCGGATATCTTAATTTTCACTTTGAATTTTTCTTTTGCTTCTGCTTTGCATATTTTATTTCTTTGTTGATACAGTACTATTTTATCATTTGATTTAAAAATGTTTATGGCTACTGATTTAAGCATCTGTATAAAAGGCTGCTGTGGTAGCTGCATAATCTGTTGTCAATTTGAGACTTCAGAGTGAAGGGGTGGAGTTAGCCTGTCGAACAGGTAGCGGCTTGATGACCTCATTTGGAGGTGCAGTGGCAGAGGTAAATAGCTTGCTGGAGGTGGGACACAAGACATACTCTCTGATACATTCCTGCTGACGAGACACATGGAGCTACGCTAGAACCCTGGAGGTGAAGGAGCCACATGGAGACCCCTGCCAGTGCTGAGATGCTTCCACTGCCACTGGATCCATAAGACTTTCCACCCACTGGTCTGTGATCTTCCTGCATTCGGCGTCATTGCATGTGTCTTGTGAGTCTGAAGAGGAATTTATAGATTTGTCTGGGATATATGAGCTAATCTTGGACTTATGGACTTGATCTGGACTGGGCTGGGATGTTTTCTCAATATTCAATTGCTCTTGTATATAAAGCTCTTTCTTATACACATATGAGTGTCTATTAATTTGTTTCTCTAGTCTACCCAGACTAACACTGCTGCTTTTAATGTGTCAGATAATTCCAATGTCTATGAGGGAACTTCAAAAAGTTCATGGAAAAAATAGTAGAATGTTCCCACAAATTTAAAAAAATACCCTCCCGTGTCATCTTGTGATTGGCATGTGTGAACGACCTTTTCTCATACAAGTTGGCATTTTCATAGTATGTCATCTGATGAGAAATACTGGATTATATTCTGAACATCTTGAATAATATTATGAGACTCTAGGTCTAGTTTAAATCCTATGGCACATGCAAACAACCTGGTTAGATTCTGGTCATATGCTACAACCTGCTTTCCATAAGGGCTGTCAGTTCAATATCAACGGCTTTGAGTACTAATATGATCTGAAGCATCACTCAGAGGACAATCTGGAACATGGGCAGAAGTTTATGTAATACCCCATTTCTCAAAGATTTTGTTTTCATCTGCTGATTAAGATCAAATGTTGCATGCATAGGTGAGCTAAGAAGTTCATAAATAACTTTGTGAAATTTTTTTCACAGGCTATCATCTCTCTGATATTTTTGGGTTACCTAGAACTCCCCTTTTCAACTCTGGCTAGAAATCACACACTTACATAATTGTTCCAAGCATGGCCAAGTGGTGGGAGGAAAAGGAAAGGAAAAAAAATCAATGGGTTTTAGCTTTGGGATATTATGGCCAGAGCCCCACTCAACAACAATAATGTTCTTCTAGACGGGGTCAGGGTGCTTGTTACCTGGATTTTCTTAGGGACCGGGTAAAGAGAACTGGGGGGAAAGGGTGGAGGTATGTCCCCCACTCTGTGAGCTTTAAGAGGTCTCTTTTCTCCTTCTCAAGCCAGAACTTCAGTTTTTCTCATGGATCTCTCTGCACCCTATTGCTCATTTCCAGATTTCTGGGTGTGCTGGGTTCAGGCCAGGAGAGGGGAAACAATGCAAGCCAATGTTTGGCTTCTTGTTGCTGTTTGTCATTTCAGTCTTTGCACAGTTGTGCCGTCTGTCTGTCCAGGATGCACAGTTACAGTCAGTGGGGGAGAAAGGATAGTGGCATGTGCTTACTTCGTATCCAGAACCACAGTCCTCTACCTAGCTATCTTTTATTATGTGCCAGATATTGTACTTCCAAATTGTTGGTTCTTTGACTAATTTGAGGCCTAGAAAAAGGAATTTTCTTGCAAAAAAGACTTGTTTGATTCTGCTTAGGGCACAATGCTCCAAGGTCACCTTATGAGGGGCGGAAAAGCTGTGAGGGGGTTCCTGAGTCCGCACAGGTCTATGTCTAGCGGAGGCTTACTCCAACAACGCAGCCCTCCAGAAGCGACTCCCGAAGAGCTAGCCTGCTGACCTGGGACTCTGAGGGCCCTTTCTCTAGGCTGGCAAAGCTCTCTGGCTCGAAGCAAAGCTCAGCATCTCAGCTACCCCTGCAGAATGCCCTGAAGGGCAAAAAGGGCTCAAACCAAGTTCACATGCCTGCATTCCCCTCCTCCCCTGGATGCTGTCCTAACGATTCTCCATTATCATAACTTTTCTCTTATGAATTCAGGTAGCTGACTTTTATAATCTGTCCAATGATCTTGTTGTCCTTTTTTGGGGGGTCTTTTTTATATGTTAAAAGAAACTGATTTAGAAAAATTTCCTGAGGTCATTCAGTGCATGGATGAAGAGCTAAGATTTACCTCCAGGGCATGTTCTCTTAACCACTACAATTAAGAGAACTGCTACTAAAAATTCGCTTTATTTTAATTAGAATTTTCCTCTAACTAATTAAGGGGTATTGAAATCAAAATTAATATATTAATGTATGCTTATTTTAAAAAAATTGAACACATACAGATATGACTAGCTTCTCTTTTGATATCTCACTCCAAGTTTTATCCCAAGCTCCTTCACCAGAGATCACCACATCTCAGTTTGTTCTAGGGCTTCACTGGCTTTTTGTAGGGCTGTTTGACTGACTTATGTCCTATGGGAGTGAATCTTCAAAAGCAATATGGAAGATAATGCAAGCACACTAAACTTAATCTGCAGGTATTTTTCACTAACGTAGGACAACACTAGGTCATATTGTATAATAGCAACTTTTCTTCCCAAATTATAGTAAATTTCAAATTTGCTCAGATTACTCTGTCCAGTCTCCATGGCCAACCCCCAAGGGCAGGCTGGGGGGTAGTCTTTACAGGTAGATGCAGATCAACCACAGAAGAGTTCCTGGTCTTTACGGACAAGTTGGGGAATTTTAGCCTCCAAAGGGGCTTCCCTTCCTCACCTCCAGAACAAACCTAAGAGTGTTCTCTACAGCAGCACCGCTGACAGGTAATCCTACACAGAGGAAATCAATAGGGCAGTTAGACCACATAAGGGGAGCAGCCTTGCTCTTTGAGCATACCTGTGCTGCTCCTGTTACCTGCGCCATGAAGAAGTAACAGGGCTGGCTCTGTAAGCAGAAGCTATTGCTTAACTCCACAAATACACAGAAATGACCTATTTCAGTGAGAATATGGCTCGCCGCCCCCCTCCCACTCCCCCATATGCACAGCACCTGAGACATGTGTGTACTGATGCAACCTGACAACATGTCCCATGTGCATAGCTGAGGGCTAGGGGGTGATGCAGCTTTCCCCTAAAAGGCAGGCATTTGACAGGAGGACTTAGACACCATGCGGCTGCTCATACCTTGGCTTGCATCTGGCTTCAGGGAGCTAACAAGGGGTGGGGGTGAAGAGTCGGGAGCCTCTGTCGCTGGGTTTTCAGCTACTGGACAAATGATAAACCACCGCTTTCCAGTATGCAGGACTAAAAGGCAGAACAGAGAGAAGATCCCCAGTGATATGCGAGTGCGCTTCTCTTCAGCTCCACGAGTTCCCTTGCTGCCTTCTGTGCTCCCGTGCCATGAAACTGCGGAAACTCCTTCTTCTCTTCTCTGTGAATTTGTCACTCGGAGGTTATGAGTAAGGAACCAACATTCTGAGTCAGAAGCCTAGGCAGCTTCCTTCCACAAAACAGAGGTGTATACCACCCTTTGGAGACTATGGGGGCCTCTTGTTGAGTTTCATCTCCTAGGTTGCCTCAGCACTACTGCAGCAGAGGCAGGGATGCTGGCTGGTGAACCAGTGGACACTAGAGGATGGCCTGCATGCCACCACCTCCGAGTCCCACTCACAGCGTAGGGGCCCTCAGAGAAGGCACAACCTGCTTCCTTCGAGCTCTAGTTTAACTCTCACCCACCTAGCCTGGCCCCCTGCCCCCGCCCCCCAACAGCTGAATTTTCTTACAATATTTTCAACTGGTGGCTTTTAGGACATCTGCTGAAAAACACAAATAGCAGCCACTAATCCAGAAAGTAGGGCCACCCATGGGAATGCCTTTTCTGTAACACTGCCTTCTTTCCACTGTAGCCAAGAAGACCGACTTACCATTCTGCTGGTAGACTGGGGCATTGGCTTGGGAGTGTTGATTTTCCTAAAGGAGGTGAAGGATGAGGAGTCAGGACAGACTCTGAACTGAACAAGAACTTTCTTCAGATGCCCACCCTCTGAATCCCACCTCTGCCCTCCAACTGTCTGTCACTAAGTACTTAGCATTTCACAGGACTGCTCTTATGGCAGAAACATACAGTGGCACTTGGGAGAGGTGGGGAGACTGTCCTTGCTATATACTCCCCAGGGTAAGTCTCCTGCCCGCCTCTCTCCCTACCATCAGCACCCTCCCCCGCAGCTCAGCCCAAGCCCACCAGCCAGCCCGGCTACTGCACACTAGCACCAGTCCCTGTGCCTTCTTCAGGCACCAGCACTCACTTCACTTGCATGCAGGCCATAGGCACTGTAGTATGGAGGGCTCGTGCCAGGGTCGGACCCGCGGTCTCCATCTGTGTCCTCACTGAGCATGTCCTCTGCCTTATCCATGATGTCTTTCATCTGCTCAATAAATGTCTCTTTCTCAGACTGCAGAATGAAGTCATGTTCCACCTGCAGAGACAGGGAAAGCAGGCCTTCAGAACTGGTGGACTAGGGCTGTTTACAGATGACACAAGCCATGGCATTAATTGTGTCATATGCATGTAAAAGTTGGACATTAGTATTTAATGGAAGACCAAAGAATCGGTGCATTTGAATTGTGGTGCTGGTGTAAAATATTGCAAGATGAGAGGGAAATACAAGGAGCAAAAAGGACTGGGGCTGCAATAAGGAGGGAAGGAGGTTTACCACCTAGGGCTCATGGGTCGGGGCGGTTAGGGGAAGATGAAGCCTGAATGTGACAGGGCCCATCCAGTTGAGTTTAAGTTGTTGCCAGAGTGAGGCAGTGGATAGTCAAGGCCAGAAAAATGACTGAAAATTATCTCTGGGATAAGGCAAGAATGGGCCAGTCTCCTCCCCTGCCTGTATCTGTTCTGATATGGTGGCCAGTTTCCCAACGCCTCCTACAATTGACCCCATACACCCAGTTGGCCTTCCAACCTCTGCATGCCTCTCTGCTAGGCTCCCAGCACTGCCCACCTCGCACCCCAGATGGAGACTGTGGACTTCTGGTCAGACTTCCACCCCTACTTCTTATAGCCCTGCCCACCTCAGGGTGGTTCAACCATGAGCCCACACCCCTCTTGTCATCAGATATCTCGAAATTGGCTTTCCTACAGCGCTGCCTCAATAGAAAGTCTACCTCTACAGTTAGGCAGCTTGGACTGTATCCAAATGAAGACAAACTGTTCGTGAATGGCAAGTCCAAGCAGGCTGGCAGTCCTGAGCTGAACAGCAGCAGTTTGATGCTAATGTCAGGTGCAGACCTTGCCTAGGCTGATCTCACAGGCTGTCTTAGGAACTTGGCATCCATGCATGTGGTCAGGCAGGGCTCTGTCCATCTCCCCCATGATTACTCTCCTCTCCAGTGCCAAGCCTGCACACAACCATACCAGGGCTGTCCTGTACTCTCACCATGGCCACAGCCTCCACACAAGACAGAGATGCCTTCTGCATTCTAATCCTGAGGCTGCTGACCATCCTGGGTAACTCCTTTTCTAACGGACCTGTCTCCCAGGAGATGGCTGTGAAGCCCCCAACATGGTACCCTACCAGGTTCTGTAGGATACACCAGACCTTGGGTCTAATCTTGCATGTAACCCGCTTGGCTGTATCCTTGGTCACTTTGGTAGGTAGGACACTGACTCATCTCTCTAGTGGGCTTCATGAAGACCACTTGGCAAGGAGAGATGGCATGTCAGCTAGTGCTAGATAACATGGGGCATTCATTCACCTGTGTCTTAGTATAAGATCCACTACAATGCTGCTCTCAGGGGAGTGCTCGAGGTCCAGAGGCACAGGCAGTGTTCAGCTATGGGGCAGGGAATGAAAAGTTTCATCTAAGAATCTAAGCAGGCCTACAAATTTGTGAAAGTTTCATTAAACGAAACAAAATGAGAACCCCTTTGGAACAGGAAAACTGTCCTGTTAAATATTTCTTTTTTAAATGCAGAGATTACAATTGGGTGTAAAAAAATTTAAAAATCTGAGAGAGAAAAGACTAAATATCCTGGTAGATCCTGCAATTGACCAAATTAAATCCAAACATCTGTGGACAGCCTTTTACGACAGAGATTACCCAGACTTTGTCAATGAAAGCCCCGTGGATCAGAGCAATGGACCCACAATTGCTCCGAGGCATGCGAACGACAGGCCACCACGGGGTTCTGTTTGAATGAAGTCCCCTTGAGTCAGTGCCTCGTAGCTAACGATTACACCAAGATAACGAGCCCAAGCGAGCCTCTGAGGAGCCTCGACATTCATGAGCCATGACGGTGTGCGGGGCGCCTGCTCACGAAGAAGCTACACTTGGCAGATGGTCAGCAGGGCCACAAGGTGGTAGTCTGAGTAATACTACATTCCATTAGCCACGATCCGGTTCCTCGGCGTGGTCCCTGGGGAAGCTTGCCTCTTGGAACATGCTTGTCTCTGAGAACAGGGTGGCCAGATGCCCTCCAAGGCCTCTGTCCTCTGAGCCTTCCACGGTTTGTCACATCATTGTCTCAATTTGTGCACCTGTCCCATGCCTGTTTCACTAGTGCAGTTTAGAGGACCGAGTTTAAAAATGCACCCTAACCCTTCATGGGGTAGGCAAGAAACACATCCAACGATAACATGGGAGGCGAATCAATGCTGGCTGAAAAGCAAGGCCGAGAAGATGCCCAAACTTCAAAACTAAAGAACTGTGTTGACCGCTGCGTAGAGATTTGTGTGCGTGTGTGTACATACGTGCATATATACATACGTATGCATACAGATGCATGAGGAAAAACACGTAAAAAACCAGAGACCCTGGGGAGCCGCTTCCCAGCCGGGCAGGCAGGGCAGCCGGGCCTCACCATGTAGGTGGCGATCTCGTCGGGAGCATCGCCGTCCAGGTCAAACTTGAACGTCACCATCTTGTGATTGTGCGTCTCCAGCTGGCACTCCACCATCTTGTCGCCTGTGTTGCACACCTAGGGGGCAGCCGGACAGTGAACACATCCATCGTGCAGGTGCCACCTGCTCACCGCCTACAGCCAAGCCTGCACCACTCACGTTCAGGATGGTCAGTCGGGGCCGGCTGGCTCTCTCCTGGCGGGAGCGGGTGCGGGTGGATTTCCTGTGGTGTTTCTTGGAGGCCTTGCCTTCGAGCTTCCCACCGCCAAACGCACCTTCACAGCCGTCGGTCATCTCCTTTCCAGAAGTGGGATCAGCGCCTCCATGGCTGAGCAGAAACCGAGAAGGTCAGAGTGGCCCAAAGGAAGGACCTACCAGGAGGCTGCAAGTGGGAAGCGAGCTAGAGGGCCATCGTGCCGGACTCCAGCTGCTTGGGTATGCTCAATATCCAGGGCTCTGTGGGTGAGGGGCTCCTGCAACGAAGACCCTAGGTCTGTCCCCAGAGTCTGTACCCCTTCTCCCTGCACTCCCTCTTAAAGGGCCCTTGGGGGCCATGTGAGAGAGGAGTACCCCTGGTCCTCCCTTTATTGTCTGTGTATCTCCCAGTCTGACTGAGGGTCTGTGAAATGGACAACACGCGGGGATTTAAATAAGAAATTCCTCCTCGGGCCTCCATTCTCCCATCTGTGCAATGGGATCAGAGGCATGCCAATACTTGGGGCTACTGTGTGGGCTCAAGAGACCTGACAGTGGCTGTTCTCGATAACGACCCCTCATAAGAACACTGCTGCCTTCCCCAGAGGCACCCCATCCCTGGTGAAGGCAGGTACCAAGCAGAAGAGATGAGCCGGGAGGCCAAAGTTTTAGCGCCACACTGTGGCTACCCACAGAGACCCGCCCTTCTGGCTTGCTCCCCGAGAGATAGGCAGATGCCTCTCGATCAATCCAGCCAGGCACACCGAGTGAATATACCTCAGCTCTGCAGACCAGTACCAGGGCCCATAGGGACCCAGGGCACAGAGTGCTTAATGGGGGTGTCGAACGACCAAATTCACCCAAATTCATGATGGCTTTGCCAGGCCAGGCTTACATTTGCTTCATAAAACCCTGGTGGCACTGGGAAAAGTGGAGCAGCAAACCGCCCTGGCACCTGGCATCCTAGTGCACATGGGGTAGGATGGGACAGACCAGGGAGGGACCCTCTCAGGGCCCGGGCAGCACGTTACCTCTCACAACTCTGCAGGTAGCCCGGCTGCTTGTCCTGCACCACCTGTTCCTGCAGTGAGAGTGTGGGAGAAAGGTCACATCACCCGGTGCTCTCCCAATTACAGGGCTGGGGCTACTGCCCTCTGCAGGAAGATGTATGTATGTACCTAGCCAGTGAAGGGTGCCAGCCTGAATGGCCAAAAACCAGTGAATCCCTAAAACCTAGGGCCGCACGGTGCCATCCCCTTTTCAAAAACATAATCCCACTTTCAGCATTCCAAAAGAGAACATAGTGGCCCGATTGAGGCATTCCATAGCGTTTGTATCATCTGAGGAAGGCTGTTTTCAAAACCCATAAATAAAATGACGCTCTGTTCTAGCGTGGGTTTAAGAAGAGTGTGAGATCTTTAGCGAACAGGTAAAAACAGCCTCCGGCTGTCCTGACCAAATCCCACATCTCTCCTCTAGCTACGTGCTGCCAACTCTGAGCTCCCACTGAGACCCCAGGTGCAGCGCTTAAGGGGATCGGGGTCAGATTTGTGGGAGATGCGAGAAACCCACCCAGTAGCCATGCCCCAAGGGTAGCAGACTCCATACCTCTTGGGCTGGTTCCACTGTCAACTGAATGGCAGGGCAGGGGGTGGCCACCATGGCCCTAGCAGGCAGTGGTGGGGTTGCAGGAGGCAGAAGTGCAGTGGTCTGAGAGGGCAGGTTCTGGACAGTTGTCATTACCGTGGAGGCCAGGGAGCTGGACAGCTGTGGCAGGATCTCCGGGGCAACCAATGGGGGCAGGAGGTCCAGCAGCGGCGGAGAGAGAACAGCTGTGGGTGGCCCAGGCACAGAGGAGCCCAGGGCTGTGGTGTCCACTGTATATGGGGGTGGGGGCCCCAGGAGGACCTGCGACACAGGGAATGGATGCATGTCAGGTTGTGCTCCCTCAGGATGAGGACCACTGTCTTCACTGAGGGTCTTAGGGGATCACAGGTTCATTAGTAAGCACACACAGGACAGGGGTTGCCTTCTTTCAAATTCCTCCAACATTTAAGTCCTGGTTACATGTACATTCACTATATAGTTTCATCAGAAAGAACCAAAAATAGGCACTACTATATTTGCTTTGGAATCAACTCTCAAATTAGAGCAGGAAAACCCCATACTGGATCCCATTGCAACAATTTTGTTGCATTCATTTGAGAAGGTGCAAGTGGATGAGGATGGTACAGACTGGGCAATGTTGCATTGTGTTGGATTGTACATCAGGTCCCTAGAAGTTGGAGGCCAAGTGAGCGGTAAATAACAACATGGGTAACTTACACTTAATATCAAAACCAGGCTCCTGGCTGCCGCCTTGTTGTGGCTGGGCCATTGCTCTTTTCTACTCGGCCACCTCAAAGTTAGTGCGGCCTGTGAAGGGGCCCTGCTGCAGCTCCAGCTATGTGACGGATTGTGCCGGAGGGTGCCACTTCCAGTGAGGCCAACCTGGAAGCTCACACTTTATTTTTCCACATTTTCTTTCTTTGATTTTAAAAATTAATTAGTTAATTAATTATCTTTCTCCCCTCAATTTTTAAAAGCTCATCGGGTGTATATGAATAAAAGATAAGGTAGATGGAGACAAAGGCCCAAGGATTTAGGCTTGTGAGTCCCCTCTTAAAAACAGAGGCCAGAAAGTCATCCAAGTTTGGGGTGAGAGGGTGAACACTTGGAGGAGCGCCTCAGCCCCACATACATGGGAGAGGATGCTTTTGGCTAAGGCTCCTGGGTTTGAGACCCTGGGATGCACAGGGATGAGGGTTTCTGCATGCAGTTGGAGAGAACTAAATATTGCAGCCATGCAGTAGGACCTTGCCAGCAAACAATTCTGCACAGGGCCCAGATGCTGCATCCAGGGGAGTCGTTGCTTATAGCAGAGGGATGCCAATGGGGTGGCCATCTGCTTATCAGGTCAGGACTCCCATTACCACCAAGCCTGGCCATTGACCTTGGAGGTTCATGATGCCTTTTCAGCCCCAGGTTGCATAGATGAATCTACCTGAGGGTGCCTAGGCAGGAGCAGAGGAAGGTCAGCCACTCCAGTCCAGGGACATACATATACACGATGAAGCTATACGTTTCACACTTCCTTTCTCATGCCCTTGGCTTTCCTCTGAAAACAGACCTGACCTTGAGTCCAGTGATATAAGAACTGAGGCCTTGGTCACACCAGGCAGTTTCTCTCTCGGTTACGGGAGTATTTGGTTATGGTGCTGGATTAGTGCTCCTTCTTTAACTTGTGCCACCTTGTTAATTAAATAATACTAGCCTCTTTTCCCCCCTCTAAATAAGAGCCCCTTCTGGAAATAAGCTATGATTTCCAGGGAATTGTGATCATACACACACACCACCACAGTACAACACACTGACAGACAAGTAGCATGATGCTAGAAGTGATGCCATTAGCATTTCCCATGCCAGCAGGATCATCTGACAGACAAGTAGCATGATGCTGGAAGCGACGTCACTAGTATTTCCCATGCCAGCAGGGTCATCCGGAGCGAGAGGCTCCAGCAGAGACTCCAGACTGAAAATAGACCACGAAGAAGGAAGGGGCTTTCCACTTCTGAGGCGTCCTCTGCTGAAAGCCTTGTGGACAGCAGACAACGTGGTCACACAGCGAACAGCACTAGGGCACTGCGGGAGCGAGTGCCGAAGAAGAGCTCCTCGGGTCAGAAGCCTCTGAAAATATGACCGAGGAGGAGCTGCCTTCGCGAAGCAGAGGCGACCGTGCTGATGCGGACGGAGGAAAGCCTGGGGCAGGAAAATCTTCAAGACCCCCAATTGCTGATGAGGCACAACTGAAAATGCGAAAAACAGTTGCAAACATCTTTGAATAGCGGGCACTTGGAAAGTACAGAGTGGAAACCTAGAAAGTTGCGAGTAGTCAAAAGTGAATTGGAACACACAAAGATTGACATTTTAGGCCTTACTGAGCCCAAATGGACTGGTTTCGGCCATTTTGCATCAGAAAATCAGATGGTTGACTAGGCCAGAAATGAAAACTTCAAGAGGAATGGTTTTGCATTCATCATCAAAGCGAACATTTCAAGATCTGTCCTGAAGCACAGTGCTGGCTGTGACTGAATACCCCCAGTCCACAGAAAGGAAATCCGGGCCATACAACGAGTATTCCAACTTACACACCAGATTCTAGAGATGCAGAGATTGTAGACTTTCACCAATATCATCACTCTGGAATGGATTAAACATGCAATCAAGATGCGTTCATAACTATTGGTGAGTGGAATGCAAAATTTGAAATCAAAGAGGAAGGAACAGCAGTTGGAAAACATGGCTTTGGCGATAAAAATAAAGCTGGAGGTTGCACGATCGAATCCTACAAGGCCAACAACTTTTTCACCACGAATACCCTTTTCAACAACTCAAAAGGAAACTGTGCACATAGGGCTTTCTCTAGGTAGAACAGACAGGAATAAAATGGACTACAGTTGTGGGAAGAGCCGATGTGTAGAAGATCAAATCCAGGCCAGGGGCTGACTGTGGAACAGACATCAGTTGCTCACATCTAACTTCAGAATGAAGCTAGAGCCAAAATATGACCTTGACTACATCCCATTTGAATTTCGAGATCACCTCAAGAAAAGATTTGACACATTTAACACTAGTGACAGAAGACACGACACGTTGTGGGATGATATCAAGAACATCACACATGAAGCAAGCAAAAGGTCAGTAAGAAGACTGGAAAGAAAGAAAAGGTCAAGGTGGATGTCAGAAGAGACTCTGAAACGTTCTCTTAATCATAGAGTAGTGAAGACAAATGGAAGAAATGATGGAGTCTAAGAGCTGAACAGAAAAATTCAAAGGGCAGTTCGAGAAAACAAAGTAAAATATAATAAAATGTGCATAGACCTAGAGCTATAAAATAAAAAAAGAAGAACACACTCAGTTTATCTTAAAATGAAAGAACTCAAGAAAAAATTTAAGGCCCAAGTTCCAATCCTGAAAACTTCCATGGGTAAAATACTGAATGATGCAGGAAACATCAAAAGATAATAGAAAACACAGTCCCTGTACTAAAAAGCACTAGTCGACATTCAACCATTTCAAGAGGTAGTATACGAATAAGAACTAATGGTACTGAACGAGGACGTCCAAAGTGCACTGAAAACATTAGCCCCCAAGCAAAGCAAACCAAAACTCACTGCCATTGAGTCAATTTCATTAATAGTGACCATACAGGTCAGGGTAGAACGGGCGCTGGCGGGTTTCCAAAGCTAGGATGTTGCTTTGAAGAACAAAGTGTGTCTGATCCAAGACATGATATTGTCATTGTCTCCAATGCATGTGAAAGTTGGACATTGAATAAGGAAGACCAAAGAAGAACTGATGTATTTGAATTATGATGCTGGAGAAGAATATTGAAAACACCATGGTCTTCCAGGAAAATAAACCAACCTGTGTTGGAAGAAGAGCAGCCAGAATGCTCCTTAATCGAGGAGGGCAAGCTAGGGAGGACCTTCTCCGTGGATTCCATACCAGGGCCCCTAACTGTCATGGCAGGAACACGACAACTGTAGCCCCACCACAGTGTGCTGGCATGCTCCCTGCACAGTACACTCATGAAGAACACAGACTCGGACACCAGGTGCCAGCATCCTCCTTCATGGTCAGCAAGCACGGGCCACAGGATTGCCCCACTGACAGCCCAGGCCAGTGTTTCCTCAAGTGGGCAGGGGAGACTTCAAAAGCAGATACCTACACTTTATCCTGGATTATGGGTTATAGCACAAAGTTTTTCATTGCCAGGGGAGTGTTGAGTAATATTTTAATTTTTCTGAAAAGGGGCGGTAGGTCAAATAAATTTGGGAATCAAGGTCCAGGCCACCATACCTCTTGCTTCCACCACACCTGTCCTCCCCACCAACAGGCCGAGCTCTGTGCAGCCCATAATATTCAGGTCCCCTGAGCTTCAAAAGGAGGAAGACTCTCCATCTACCCACTGAGTGGTAATTTCTGAAAAGGTACTTTGGAAAGAACCAGCACCATCAGCACCCCAACTGTCCAGGAGCAGCTCAGATGCCAGAGATGCTGAGATACTTGCCCTCCAGTCTATAGGAAGGGAGGTGCTGCCAATGCCAGGTGTGGTCCAGGAACCTTCTACCACCCAGAAGTGGCTTATTCTTAGTAAGGGCTCATTGGTGGACCCATCTGTCACCCCCACATTTCATCTCCTGACACATGCTAAGAAGTAGCTGGAGTTTCAACTGATTTTCACCTCCTTCTGTAACACATCTTTGTGGCAGGGGCTCCTCTTAGCCCTTCCCTATCTGTCCATGGTCCAACGAAGGGCAACGGGTCCAAAGAAGGGAGGGAACGAGCAGCCACTGTGGGTCCTAACGAAGCTTACCAACCCCTGGAAGGCAGTGCTCAGCGGTGAATTACCTGGGTCCCTGCCCCAGCCGCCAGAGCAGTCTGCTCAGAGAGATGGCTGATGCTTGGCTGGGGGGGCTGAGGAACTGTGGGCATCTGCAGCTGGGACATCTGTGGCTGGGGTGGTGCTGGCTGCAGTTGCTGAGGCACCACCCGAAGACTTGGAGCATGATGGGGAGAAGAGGGCACTTCGCTCGGCACGAGGTGGGAGAAGGCTGTGGGATACATAGGCTGCAGGGGCATCTGACCGGGCAGCTGGGATACACCAGGGTGGATGGACAAGGTGGCCATGTTCTGTGGAGCCACAGCCAGCAGCGGGATGGCAGCGGCGGCGCCTGGCGCATTTGGCACAATGGTCCGGCAGGGCACTGCCATAGGGGCAAGGGGGGTGTGGGGTAGCTTTACTCCTTGCAATGGCAGGGCTGGAGAAGTGGGCAAGGGAGCAGTGGGATTAAGTGGGAGGCTTGGCAAGATCACAGCTGGAGAGAAATACTGAGGTGGTGGCGGCGGCACTGAGGGCAGGCTGGCAGCTGGTAAGTCAGAGAGGGCTGGAGGGAGGTTGTCAGGCCCTGCCAGGGGAGTGGCTGGAGGAATGACAGGAAGCTGAGGCATCTGAAAGAGATACAAGAGCAGATCAATCACGCTCAGTCACGGGCTACCGTGGAGGCCCCACACCAGGGCTGCTGCCCATGTGGCTCACGGAGACGCCCAGGTTAGCTTTACGAGTCTCGTCACACCCATAACAGATGGTGACCACACAAGGAGGGGAGCACAGGTGTTTGCCACCACAGTGCTTCCGGGTAGCTGCTGGAGGAAGGAACCCAAACATAAATATGCAACTCAAATGGAAATGAAAAGACATGCATTTAAATAAAAAGGGAAAGTCAGACGCTTCCAGTGGATGCAGAATACATCAGCCCCACCATGGGGTCTCTTATTTCATTTTGGCAAGATGGACCACGCTAGAACTTTGCCACTGCACCCCTGAATGGTTCCTAGGTGCTCAGGAACAATCAGACACTAGGGTCCTACCTGTGACCACAGGCTCAGGCACCTTGTAATGCAGGTGCCTTCTAACGAAGGAGCCACTGGACTGGCCCCAAACAGCTGAAACCTCCTTAGTGTCATGCCCCCCAACCTATATAAACTCAAAGCAAAACCAAATCCTTTGTGGTGAAAGCATACTTTGGGGCACACTTTTGTTGGCTCAGTTGATCCCTGCATAGTTCCTGGAAGTGCTGGCAGGCCCCCACTGCTACCCTGCCCCCTAACACACACATGCACACCTACTCCCTAGCAGCCGTCCTGAAAAGTCTTCCCTTTTGTGTATTATCTTCTCAGCAATATCTACATATCCTTGAGAAATGTGACATTTTGACTGTCTGGGTTTCACACTTCAAACGTTTTAGTAGATTCTCTGACAGTTCTCTTTTTATATGTTAAACAATGACTTTCTGGTGGGATACAAAGGAAGGCCAGGGAAGCCACACCTCAGCACAATCACAAGGCAGTGAAAAGTATGCGAGAGCAGCTCTAGTCCAGAGCGAAGCACCCCAAATAGCACAGGCCCTGGTTAGCAGGGCCACCACTCCTTGGTTGGACATCTGAAATAGCCTCTCGCTAGATTCGAACATGGACACAGGCTTAGACAGGGCACAGCAACTCTTCTGAAAGACCCTCTTGAGTGGTGCTACAAGCCACAGGAACGTGTGCTTGCCTTACGGGATACCACATCTGTGAACCAAGAAGCGGAATGCTATTTTACCATTGCTGAAACTGGGGTACAGGAACGTGTGCTTGCCTTACGGGATACCACATCTGTGGAACCAAGAAGCGGAATGCTATTCTACCATTGCT